TGTCTCCGACTCAGCTTAGTGCAGGACCACACAGTCGTGTGTCATCAACTCTGCTGCTTCTCCTTGGAGTCCCCCCATCTCAAGGTCCCAGGTCACAGGAGGGACCCTCGGGCCCCTAGCTCAGAGGAGCAGCTTCACGCGGCCTTATGTCTCCTGCCCAGGTACACGTCCTCGGTCAAGTACGACTCAGAGCGGCACTTCATCGACGACGTCCACCTGCCCCTGGGCCTGGCGGTGGCCTCCTGCAGCCAGACCATCACCTGCGTCCCCAGCTGCACGTGGCGCAACTACAAGGCCGAGGTGCGCTTTGAGCCCCGCCACAAGCCTGCCCGCTTCCTCAGCACCACCATCGTCTACCCCAAGTACCCCAAGACCGTCTACACCACCACCCTGGATTACAACCGCCACAAGACCCTGAGGAGGTTCCTGTCCAGCGTGGAGCTGGAAGCCACGGAGTTCGTGGGCGGTGATTACCTGTCGGACGAGAGCTGACTGGAGCGGGCTGGGGGGGCTGGACCAGCTTTCGCCGTCCTGGTCGAGGGGGGCCCAGTGGCCCTCGCGTGTCATCCTGGCCCCAGAAGAGTCTAACCCAGAGATACCTCTGAGCCCAGCTTAGGGAAGGAAAAAATAAGTCACGGTATCTTCTAATTATTCAGAGAATTTGGTTTTTACAGTTTTTTCAAATTGTTTTTCAAAGGAGTGTATTTCCTAGTCTGCTGCTACCTAGCTTCCCCAAAGTCTCAATGTGATAAGAAAATAAAAGTGTGGCTAGAGCAACACGAAAATGGCCACAATTTGAAACAGGGATGGTGAGGATAGCTCTCCTTCCACTGGTCAGTAGTTCTGAGGAGGAGTGTAAGAGGAAATTTCTGAGATGGAAAAAGTGAGTTTGAAGAAATTTCAGCCCCGGGTGTCTTCACTGCTACAAAAGTGATGCTAATTCAGTGAGCTGTGACACCCATATGGGTTCAATCTGTGGAGAGTTGAGTTCTATTCTGTTTTTTATTTCCATTTGTATTTCCTGTTAAACCAAAGCCCTTGGAATTCTCTAAATCTTTTTTGTGATATCGAAAAACCCCAAACTCCAATATAAGATGTCTTGAAAAAAAGGAAGGAAGAAAGAAAAGGTTCGCCCTGTTCTCAGCTCTGCAGAGGGCTCAGGCCAACGGATGGCCAAGTTTAAGAGCAACAGCTTTGGTTCCGGCTCCTTCCCCGGGTGGGTTCCAACTTGGGCTCTGGTGAAGCACCTTGAAGCCTTGGCATCTGTTAAAGTCTCCACAGGCCTGTGTAACTCTCCTATGTTTTGGGGTTTCCAAATACTTTCCTGTTTTTTCCATAAGGCAAAATATAGCAGAGGGCCCTTTGGAGAGAAATGGCATTTTGCAAGAATGGTTAGGAAAAACACTTTTTAGGGGGGACTTCACAATGGGGGACTCACTCACAGTGAGAGCCAGTGGCCACACCTGGCACTGGACACCCCCTGGGAGGAGGCGGACATAGATGCTTCTGGTGATCTGGTTCAGCAGGGTGGGGGTCCTTTCCAGAGACCTTGAGTCAACTGCTTTTAGGTCCGTGTTGTGTCAACACTGCAGAGGAATTCTGCTGGCGCCTGAGGTCTCAGCTGAAAAGCAAAGAACTCTACACCCCCCTACCCCCAACCCAAGTAAAGCAAAGGTGAATTCAGAATAGGGAATGATATCCCAAGTCAAACTCCAAAACCTAGGTGCCGTGGTGACCATACAAGTTTAAGCGTTCATTTTAGTGTAAGTGACAGTCATGTCGTTGAGTGTGAGCTGAAGGAACTTTGTGAATTCGGCTGAGCGGGTCGTAGAAGCAGGGCCTCAGGCTGGGCCAGGCCAGGAGGGCGCTGTGACCAGGTTGCCCTGGCCTTCAGCCTCCTGCCTGCCCTGCCTCGCCCTGGCCCTTTTTCCTCCTTCCCATCCCTGTGGGTTTTGAGTAAAGGAAGTGGCAGATGGCTTTGGTTCTTCTGATACTGGAAAGAATGAAGCCATGGGTATTTTCCTTTGATTGCATCCAAATTATGTCTGGTGCTTGGGGGTTGCTGAGTCCTGGGAGCTCAGGCTTCTGCTGTATCTTCAGGTTTCTGCAGATGGGTTCCATCTGTCCTAAAAGCAGAAGTGATGGCTCTGTGGGTCCCCTGGTGCCACAGCAGGGACATTTGTTCTGAGGACAGCAGGTGTGATGATGGTCACTCTCATTTGAAGTCATCAGAGGCTCGGGAGCCAAAGTGTCTGCTGTCCTCTTCGGAGTGAATAGCTTTCAGTCCATTGTGTGGCTGATTGGAACCAACCATCCCTTCCGTGGACCCTGCGATTGGCTTCACTGTCCCGAGTTTGCTGGGGTGACGCTCAGCAGGGACCCCTCGTGGGGGCACCCCAGGACCCCTCAGTCATCGTGCAGAGCAACAAACACTTCCTGCATTTTGAAGAGCAAATTACACAGCATTTATTGATAGAAATGCCTTTTTTCCCCCACTGATTTCACAATCTTGTCATTTAAGACAAGTGGTAAATGTAAATTTTGAAGTATGGTAAGAGAATTCCCGGGGTTTGGCTTTGACCCAGGGGGCACACTTGGTGAGCTCAGAACGATGTTGTGGGCAGCACGGCTGGAGAGACCAGGGTGGGAGGACGTGGCCTTGGAACACAGCCCCATGTTGAGATGCACGCATGAGATTTTTTTTGATACAAAATTTATCAGTAACGTAAGTAGGCGTGAGCAATTGCGGATGTGTCATGTGAATGGAAAAGCAGTTTTTGTTTTGTTAACTTATTCACTAGGGACCCAACTGTAGTTCCTGCAAATCCTTTGTTTTTGTCCAAATCTGCTTTGCTAAAAGTTGCAGAGAAGGACGTTTGTGAGGATGTAACAGGACCTGTCGGGGGGATGGAATGACGTTGATCAGAGGTCGTGTTAGTTTGCAAGGTGGAAGCAATGATTTTCAAAACTCACTGATTAAAAACAAACATCCCTGAGCGTGTCTGGGAAATACCATTTACTTAGGAATTAAAAAGCCTTTTTTCCCCTCAGACTCTTAAATGTCTTCTCTGTAATAAGGATGATTTGTACTTTCAGAGAAAGATTATCTTTTTAAATCACAGACCTTTTCAAAAGACTAAATACCTTTTCATTTAATACTTTTCCTATTTCTAACCTTAGGAATAGTATTTGATGGAAACTACTTTTAAAATTTATCCTTGACATCTGTCCCACACCATTTGGCTTTATGACTTCTTCGTTTAATAATAAATTATCTTTTAAAAAAACCTTGGAAATGCTTCTCTTTTTTGGAATAAAATCAGAATGTCTGGTTAAGAAAAATGAGATAAATGGCTGCTCCTTGAGAAGTTTTAAGACAAGATTATATACTAATAGTATAACACTTGTGACTGGGGCATGCGAACTCCTGGGGGTGCAAGAAGATTTCTCAAGGGGTTCCTGGGCACCAGTAGTTTTAAGGGATTTGTTCCCAGATTCCACGTGTATTCCTCCCCAAAGCAGTCTGCCCTGAAATTCACCTGTGAGCAGCGACATCAGGCCAGCCCCTTCCCCTCTACCCTTTCAAATTGCCTTCTTTCCACTTTGCATTAGAAATACATGCCTTAGTCCAACCCAGCCTGAATTATTAATGTGGAGTTCTGCTCTGGGCTGGAAAAATCAATAGGGAGGACAAAGGAACAGCTACAAACATGGTGTCTGTAGGCTTCATGTCTGTGTGTCTGTCTGCAGCATCCTGCACATAAATTGTCCTGGTGGTGGGAGCAGAGGTGCGCCTGTGTCGGGAGGGTCTCACTTCCAACATCTAGTAAAGTGAGGTGGTCAGAGCAATGACATGCCAGGTAGGAACCCACATCTCTTCAATCTCACTGTTGTCTTCCCTGAGGAGAAGTCCCTTTGGGCAAAGTGAAGAGAGGGTCGGTAAGCGCTATGGGAAGTGAAGGCGTCTGATTTCACTCCAGCATCAAATCCACAGCAGGGCTGTGTCTTGTCCGTTAGTCTTGAGTTGCGACTCAAAGAAACATGTCCCAGGAATGCATATTATCATTCTTACAAATAGATTTTAAAGATCAGTCTCTTTTTAATAGGAATTAAGTCTACCTTGGCTGACTTGGATGACAACGAGGGCTGATTTTGCCAATTAGATTATATGGTATAAACTTCCCATAAAATGAATGGGCCAATCAGTAGTTCTAAGGTTTTGATGGAAAAATATGTAAAGCATGTAAGATTAAAACTATAATTTGTGTGTGTGTGGAGAGAGAGAGAAAGAAGCAAAAGTGTGTTGAAACTAACCAATGTTTCAGTTTTTCCAAACTACCTGAGTGTATATCATGTTAAGCTGATGCCCTCAAGAGAAACAGTAGTAGGTATAGTTAATAATAATACAATAAATCTTAGAAAGCCTTTTTGGTATACTCCCCAGACATTTAAGTGAATAACTCTATTGATTAGGTAATGATTCCTACTGCATGGAATGCCTCTTGTAAAATTAAATTCTAATAATTTCATTTTGGAGTGTACTCATTATCAAGTGGTTCGTTTATATCACTATTTCCCACAGTACTTTCTGCAGAATAAAATAAGGTGCTCTGATCAAATAAGTCTGGGAAAGTGAACAGTTGACCAATACTAAATATGTTTATTGCAGGCTTCTGGGAACCCTTGTATTAACAATTGTCGCTGCATGACACCCACCACAAAATCACAGTGACACACAGCAGTAAGCATTTTTTTCTAACTTACGAGTCTGTAGGTCTGATAGGGCATTGCTGCCCAAGGCTGGATGTTGAGTTCAAGTTTGTTCCACTTGTCCTTGAAGTAGGCTGGGAAGGTTACAGTCTTCTGGAAGAGGTCAAAAACTCCCAGAAGGGCAAGTGGAAACATGCAATACCTCTTCAGGCCCATACTAGAGACTGGCACCCTGTCGCTCTCACCCTCTTTCTACTGGCCAGAGCAAGGTGCGTGGCCACACCTCACAGCAGTGGGTGGGGGAACCATACTTCAGTCATGGATGTGAGAAGGAGAGAGTTTTTGCTGTACAATAATCTACCATAGCCTTTAATATGGTAAAGGGCATTGAGGATCTTCAAAAGGGAAGATCTAGTATGTAGCATTTTCAAAGCTCATGGGACCAAAGAACCCATGTGCATTTCACAGGACTCACCTTTTTTTGGAATGCACTTTAACAAATGCTGGTTTATAAGTATAACAATTAGAGTGTGGTCAGGAAAACCAAAACCATACAAGATATTTCCAGCAGAAGGGATTTCATACAGAGAGCTGGTCACACGGATGTGGGAAGGCTAAAAGAACAAAAAGGGGACCTTAAGTAACCCTAATTGTTAGTAACCGTAGGAAGCGGCTCCCACTCCTAGGCCCCCCTGTGGCAATTTCCACCTTAGGAAAAAGATAAGCAAATTAAACCCAAAGTCAGAGGAAGGAAGGAAATAATATTTTTATTGATTAAATAGAAACAGATGAATAATTGTGAAAATTTTAAAAAGAAAAATTTGATTCTTTGAAAAAAATTAGTAAACCTCAGCTAGATTGATCAAGAAAGAGAAAGTACAGATTACCAACATTATAACTAAATAGATATCCTGCAGATGCCAAAAGCATAGTAAGATAATTTTGGGAACAACTTTATACCAACAAATTTGACAATGTAGATAAAAAGGAAAAATTCCTTTAAAAAACTTTATTTGTTGCAGTCACATGGATAGACCTAGAGATTATCATACTACGTGAAGTCAGAGAAAGACAAATAACATATGATACCAGTTATACATGGAATCTAAAAAAAAAATGATACAAATGAACTTATTTACAAAACAGAAGCAGACTCACAGACAGAAAACAAACTTATGGTTACCAAAGGAGGAAGGAGGTGGAAGGATAAACTAGGAGTTTGGGATTAACAGGTACACACTACTATATATAAAATAGATAAACAAGGACCTACTGTGTAGCACAGAGAGCTACATTCAATATCTTGTACTAACCTATAATGGAAAATAATCTGTGAAAGAATATATAAGAATATATTATACATATATATCTGAATCACTTTGCTGTACACCTGAAACTA